CCAGCCACACAGCCAAGTACTGACCAGCTGGATTTGTCTTTCCTACTCACAGGATCCTCTCAGAATTGAGAAAAACATTACCTGGGCCTCCAGACCATTGTAGCCACTCTTAATACATTCACAGCCACCCCTGTCAGTAACACTAGGGCCCACACAAATTAAGCAGAAAAAAAGCCATGTTCTGAGGACTGGACAAGCCACCACAGTCTCTCCACAGCCTCCTGGATCTTGGCCCACAGGAGGCAAAAAAAAACCCTCCAAAACATCAGGTTGGGCTGGCAAATGGATGTGTCCAACCCCGACAGGAGGAAGTCTCCAGTGATCACTACTCACTTCTTCCTCTTTGTGCAGACACTTCATTCGGGCGCAACTGACTCCGACATCTCCCCAGACTGAGTTTGTTCCTGCTCACCTGTTCCCAGGACACTAGATCTGTTCTCTAACTGCAGATTTGAAAGTGGAGAAGGAGCCTGCGATGTATCGCCAAAAGTAACAAGTTTCCAGCCTCCCCCACCCCATCACGGCGCGGGGAGCATTTGCTTCTTGAAGAATAGTCTCTAGTTGTCCCTCCTTCCTTGAAATGCTGGACCTTGAAAGGGTCTCTGCAAAGACTTTGTCAGCCTTGTGTTTATGTTCCTCAATGATATGCGGTCTGCTCACCTCCTCCTGCAGCTCCTTCACCTCAGTGAACAAGAACATGTCTCCAACAAGCAAGGTCACCATCACCCCCCGGCCCCAGAGGGAGGCACCAGACACTCCCTGCAGCCTGAGACCTGGAAGGCAACATCCTCCCCCTGAAGCGCTGTCCAGGTGGAGGCCTCTGATGTGCCAAGGACAATTGCTTCTGCAATTGTCTTCCTGTGGCACGTTACCATCATCATTCCACAGTCTCCAGCAGTCCCACGGTGTCTAGAGCAGAGTTTCTGAGCTCCTTTGCAGCCCTGAATGTTTGTTTGCTGCACTCTGGGAGCTACACTACTGCCTACCAGTTATACAGCTGCTCCCAAAGCTGCATAGGTGCTTGACACCGTCTGTTCAGCCCTCAGTTGAAGACAAGAGCTGTAGGCACCCCCTAATCAGGGCAGAGCAAACAGAAACTGTCTGCTGGCAGCAAAAGCTTCCAGAAACTAACCCTCACTGGCAGCAATTTCTCAGCCTCCAGAACTTTCCATCATAAGATAGTGTATCTTAATGCAATGGAGGAAGGAGGGAAGGCTGGCTTGACTCCCAGCTTTCTCAGCTCCTTCTTCCTAGCACAACACTCCTGGCACTGCCATGACCTCAAGTGCCTCTCCATAACGCTCCGATACCCACCGATCTTTAATTGCCATATTCTCACAATTTCTCCCTCCCCTCACTCCCAAATTCCCTGTATCACCTCTCATACCTTCACAGGAAGCGGAATACCACGCTGCCAGGACGTGGAAGGGCAGGACCAAAGCAGAGTGCCACTGCTACTCAGCAGGTGCCCACTCAATCAGCACATGAACCCTGGCTGGCCTCAAGCTGACCAGAAGGGGAGCTAAGAGGCAAATGCGTCTCTTGACTCCTAGACCTCCACCAGCTCCGCAGCCACCAATCCAGGAGCAAAGGACACACAACACAACAGGCCACTTCTTTTGTCTATATAAGGCAGCAGGCCAAGGGATTTGTTTGGTCTCAAGAATCCCACATGCTATCTGTTATCCAGGCCGAAGCTAAAGATAGCCATGCTTGTCTGTGAACAAGTTAGACTCAAACTTGAACAAAGTACATCATGAACATGACGTTAACAGCCTGTTCCATAAGCGGTGGAACTCCTGAATGTTAACCACCATGAGTAAGGCTAAGTACCTTTCAGCTGGCAGCTGAATCATAGCCACAGAGATCAGGTTCAGCTGCTCTTAAAGAAATGCTGCCTGGACCCAGTCATTAGATCACAGATAATATTCCCACACTGTGCTTTCTAAAAAGATATCTCAAGATAACTGAAGCACAACTTTTTAATTGAAAACTCTTTAACCTTTATTATCTGATAAAGAATAAGATGGAAAAAAATGGGACTAGAAGTTTGTAAACATTAAAATTAATAAAAGGGGCATGGCCTTGAGACACCAACACAGGCGCACAGTCTTAGCAGGAAACTCCAAAAAGAAATAAACACAATAAAATTACAAATTCCATATTATAAACACATACTAATGGGAACAATGATATAACTGATATAAGTATGACAACTCAAATGATTAATGTTATACTCCTGGTTAATTTCTTTCACATTCAGAGCACATATGTTTTGAATTTTAACAAGGGAAATTGCGTTGTGGCTTTCAGAGCAACCAGAACTCTATTGTTTAACATATAACAAAACACTTTGGTACTTCTATTGCCTTGGGCAACACAGTAAGTTATACTTGCTGCAGGAAATCTAATTCTTAATCATTTAATTTATCTTAATGGTTCTGGATGTGGGATTTTACATGTAAAAAAAAAAATTATTACCAGGTGAAAGTTGTTTTACAATATAAATAAGCTCATGGTGTCCCCGAGGGACACCAATACCGGGTCCAGCTTTGTTCAACTTATTCATCAATGACTTGGATGAAGGGACAGACTGCCTCCTCAGCAAGTTTGCTGATGCTGCAGAACTGGGAGGAGTGGCTGATACACCAGAAGACTGTGCTGCCATTCAGAGGGACCTCGACAGGCTGGAGAAACGGACAGAGAGGAACCTCCTGAAGTTCAACAAAGGCAAGTGCAGGGCGCTGCGCACCTAGGGAGGAATAACCTCATGTTGGGGGCTGACCTGCTGGAAAGCAGCTGTGCAGAGAAGGACCTAGGGGTCCTGGTGGACAACAAGTTAAGCGCCCTCATGGCCAAGAAGGCCAATGGTCTCCTGGGGTGCATTAGGCAGAGTGTTGCCAGCAGGTCGAGGGAGGTGATCCTGCCCCTCTCCTCAGCCCTGGTGAAGCCCCCCCTGGAGTACTGTGTCCAGCTTTGGAATTCTCGGTACAAGAGAGATATGGAGTGCCTGGAGCAAGTCCATTGAACGGCTCCTAAGATGATAAAGGGCATCTTTAGCTGGAGCATCTCTCCTGTGAGGAAAGGCTGAGGAAGCTGGGACCGTTCAGCCTGGAGAAGAGAAGGCTCGGGGGGATCTGATCAATGTGTGTAAGTATCTGAAGGGAAGGTGTCAAGAGGATGGGGTCAGACTCTTCTCCGTGGTGCCCAGTGACAGGGAGAGAGGCAACGGGCAGAAACTGAAACAGAGGCAGTTCCATCTGCACATGAGGAAAAACTTCTTTCCTGTGGGGGTGACAGAGCACTGGCACAGGTTGCCCAGAGAGGTTGTGGAGTCTCCTTCCTTGGAGATATTCAAAAGCCGTCTGGACGTGGTCCTGGGCAACCTGCTGTAGATGACCCTACATGAGCAGAGGGGTTGGACTAGATGATCTCCAGAGGTCCCTTCCAACATCAGCTGTTCTATGGTTACATAGATATAGATATATCGCCAGTGAGATTTTCTATTATATGACTGCAATAGTTTATATTTGGTTTCTCATCAATATAAATTTGAACTGGAGAGTTTGGCATCCTACCCTAGGAACAGATGCAACATCAGTCCTTGAAACGTAAGCATTTTTGTATGCTTAACCTGTAGATCTCTAGGCATTTTTTTTTTCCCCCAAAGAGGTGTTTTTTAAAAGAGTCTCTCCCTCCTGTTGGTATTTCCAATAAGCTTATCAACTGGTTTCGAGATGATAACACACTTGTCAAGAAACAGAGAGAAGGAGATAACTTGTTTCATCTATCAGACAATAAAAACTCATGTTAAAACCAAGTTGGTAAGGACTGGCTCTTTCAAGTCAGTGATCTAAGAGATTTGTACCTCATTTTTTTCTCTACCATCTGGTTCAGAAAGTTTTCACGGACAAATAAAACTATCACTAGATTGGACCAACAGCCCAGGTAAGAAGGAGTATTTCAGGTATACCAGTCTTTGAAAAAGTTTTTTCAAAATATATGTGATTCCTACAACGTGTAGAACACTAACTTCACAATGTAATTATACAGCATATTATGGCACTTAGTAGTAAGACATGTACACAGCCACTGAGAGCCGGAACAGCTTGCAAAGGTGTGCACTGGTCTAGATAGAAAGCTAACAAGCTAAAGCAAAACTGGTACAGAGCACATACAGTGATGCTTATTACTTGCGTTTTGGTCTTAGCTAGGTTCCCCTTAGAAAACAGAACCTTTCTGTGTTTGCTGTCAGACCACTTAGGATGTAACCAGAAACGACATTAATTGGGATGACCTGGGCAAGTGGGATACTTTGCTGTTGCTTGTGGAGGCAAGAGGGCTCCTCCTGTTTATAAGAGTACTGCCTACCATATCCAGTCCACGTTATAAGACTAACATGTAGATCAAAGCATGTAACTGAAACATTCAGCAATATACTTCATAGTGTTTTGATTTATGACACTGCATATCCTAGAGAAGTCTTACTATGAAGTCAGAACTCTTTATTAAATCAATCCGATTATAAAATCCTCTCTAGCAGTATCAGATTTACTTGGCAGCTAGGGGAACTTCAGTATGCATACTGTGGAACAATACTAAAGCTTCCTCAGATACAGGCAGAATGAAAACTGTTCAAAGGTTTAAATAAAAATGAATCATAGAAACATATACTAAGTCACTCATCTATATTCATGAAGAGGTTACTACCTTCTTATCAGACACAGCTGGACACAGCTATATTCAGGAGAATGATGGGCAGAGACCTACAAAAATTATCTGTCAGAGCAGATATCATTCACAAGGGTGACTGAACTAGCCTTTAAGCCTTTAACCCATGTGTTTGCAACACCGCTTATAAAGAGAGAAAACACCTGATAGCAATATTAACTGCAGTTCAGTATGTCCACTCTAGATCTATTTTCTATTGTAAGCCACATTAAAATAGATTTACCATTAATATAGATTATCTATTTTTATGCAATAAAAAATTACTGTACCTTACAGTAAAATCATAGGAGCAAGAGGCCAATAAAGTTGCGTGGAATGGTGAAAACTGCAAGAAAACAAAACAGAACAACTTTTAAAATATCACCATTGTGAACATATTTGAAGACTCCTTGTGAGTAGAAAGTTACCAAAGTTTAACTAGTTAAACTGTCTCAGTAGGTTCCATTTAATGCCATAATAGAACAGATTACTTCAAAAAAAACAAATTTAGCCACCGTGCTTACAATCGCAGTGCTCTACAGGATCCTGTCTGGTTTGATTTAAGCAATCCTGCTGTAAAATTAAGATGTTCTAGGACAGTCATATAAACGGTCATTAAATTCTGCTTTTTGCTGACAACCTGAGTACCATCTCAATATATAAAGGAAGTTTCAGTAAAACTGTGCGACCAGTTTGTTTTTTCAGCTCAGTTAGTGGGATGCACTTATATTGAGCCATATTGCAGAGAACGTTAAGATATATTTTACTGGCATCAATTCCATGTGCTAAAATTCTGAAATTACTTAAGGAAATGGGAAAATCTGAGTTAAGTTGAAAAACTTAACTTTACAAGTTAATCTTTGTAAAACTTTACAAGAATTTTCAGCTAAGGAAGAAAAGAATTTTCATCATATTTGCTTTTCTGATCCCTAAAGAACGAATCCAAGAGAAGCAAAGAGCACTGAAAACCACAGTTCCTAACAAAACTACAAACTAACAAGCCCAAGAAGAACTCAAAACTAAGATCATAGGACTAAGATCTGTTCAAGTTCCTACAGATGCAGAGCTTAATCCCACCAGGGATTAAGACCTGACTTGACTTATCTTGCCTACAGCAGGACTGAGGGGACCATATGCTTGAACTCGCTCCAGGAGCTCCATGTCTCTCTCATATTGGAGAGCCCAGAACTGGACAAAATACTCCAGATACAGCCTCCCCAGGGCTGAGCAGAGGGGGAGGATCACCTCCCTCAATCTGCTGACAATGCTCTGCCTAATGCAGCCCAGGACGTTACAGAATAGAGAATAAGAAATGTTATCTGTCTAGTCCTTTTAGCATCGGTTTATTGACCTATTATCTGTGAATTTTTCCAGTTCCTTTGGAACTTGATGACACTATCTGCCTCTGCAACCTCTTGTGACAAATAATTCCAGAAATTTACTGTCTGATGTGTAAAAAAAAAAAAAAAAAAAAGTACTTTCATCAGTTTATAAAGCCATCCCCTATTAGCTTCATCAAGTGTTCCTTAGTTCTACTGTCACAGGACACGGTGAACAACAGTTCTGCATTCAGTTTATCCGTTTTATCATGAAGACTTCTTCTTATGAATCCCTTTGCATCAGAGCTGTTTTTGAAAGTTACCATGTCCCACTGCCTGCCAGAGTATGACACTCACAGCTGTATTGATTCAATTGCCTTTATGAATATGAAACTGGAGCTGCAAAATGATCTAGATGAAAAAAAGAAATCTCTTAACACCACTGCTACTTTTTTTTTTTTTTAAAGAACATTTCACAGAGCTAGATTAAAGCATGGTCATGCAGGAATTACACCCGAAAAAAGACAGAACGGTTACCACAGGGGGAGAGCAGGAAAGAGTAACAAGGATAAGGGAGAACAGGAGCTTCTCAGATTGTCTAGCCACAAGAAGGATTTGTGATGTAAAACCAATCCCTTAGACGCATCTTTTCCTGACAAATCACAGCCCAAGGACAGTAACTTTTAAAGCTCTTAGAACCATATCAAGAATGACATAGCTATGTGAAACAAAGTACTAGCCAGAATTAAATTTTTCTGCCAGTTCAGACTTCCTAGAAAATAGTAATAAACATACCTCTTCCTGAAAGGCTTTATAATCATCAGGGATTGTCTGTGCCACGCTAACCTTGTACCAAACCACAGACTGGTGTCCTGCAGCCAGCATAAATGACTAACTGCAAGCACTGACTAATTCAAAGAAATGCAATCATGTATCCAGATCAAATTTGTACATCACTGGGTGATCGAGTAGTACCAAGATCCAGTATAGCTATCTGTAGCCTCTCATGTGTAAGATTTCTAAACTCCTTTGCACTTGTTAACATTTTCTTTGTATACACAAAAATACATATTCACAGTGAGCTCTGTACCTTGCCTTACGTGAATGCTGACAGTCCGTATGGAAAGAACGGGACACAGTACCATTTAAAAAGGGAATAAGGAAAGATATTTTCTCTACCTCAGACTTCCCAAATAACTTATCCAAAGCAACCTCCTATCCATTTCTCAACCTCTGGAACATTCCACATGGAAAAATACTGCCTTTCATGACGACACTTCCTTTGAAACCCCAGCAACCTGCTAAACAGCAAAATGTTTTACTGTGCTGAACTGAAGGTTTCCAAGAACAATCAACATAATAGCTAAAATCTTGAGCGCTTATTGTTCTTTTTCCTCATTACTAGGTTATGTGAAATATTGCTGCTTTCCTGGCAAACTTGCATAATAATTCAATGATGGGCTACAGTGAATAATATAAAACTTACTTTCGCTCTTCTGATAGCATAGGTATGACCAAGCAAGACGAACACTGGTTGCCGGACGTTCCGCAAATCCCAGCCTTTCAAACTGCAGTCAACTGCACCAGTTACCAGCAAGTTCTGATGATTTGAAACAACACAGATATATCAGCACAACTTAACTCTTAAACGGCCAAGATGCATATCAGGGGAACGTTGGCTACTAAAGTTTAATAAAGCAAACAATACTGATGAATAAATCATAAATGAGGTCCTCATTTTGTTAATTAAAGAGAATAGAGAACTACAAGCTATTTCCCCATTATAGATTATTCTGTCTACTACGCAAAACAGTAACCAAAACAACCCCAGGTCTACTCATGCCATTTACCTCTTGCAATAACACTCTGCTGGAGATGTAGTTAGTGAATGAAAATAACAAGCAACTAGACATTTTTTTTATTACAATATAAAAATAAAATATATTAATGTAGCAGAAAAAAAAAAAAAAAAAGAAAGCTATTTAATGAAACTGATTCAGTTAGAAAAGCAGTTGGACAGACAGGATTATACCTCATCATATTTGCACCAGTCACAGCTCAAGATCTCAGCATGGTGGGCTGGAATCACAAGTTTGACTCCTGGGGCTTTCACATCCCAAATTCTTAAAGTTTGGTCACCTGAAACAAAGATAAATTGATTCAATTCATCAATTGATGAATCAGTTAAGAGATACTGTTAGTACAGTAGTACTCAGTAAAAAATGATTTCTCAACTCTATGAAATACAAACTATGACAGCAGGATGCGCAGGTCAAATAAAACAAGCACACTGTAGACACAGAGGTCAGAGAGATGCACACAAGGAAGTAGAACTTGTTTCATTTTATCACCAACGCTTTCATTACTTTTTAATCCGAGATTTTATTAAGAGGAAATGGGGTAAAATATTCAAACACATTTTAGTCAAGGAGGAGCTTACGGTCCATTTCAAAATTAACTTACAAGATCAGAATGATGAACAAGTTTTCTCTGCAAGTTAGCAAATAAAAGTACTTACACTAAGCTAAATGCAACTTACATCCAACTTATTTCAACAAAATGAAAATTTAAGGCACTTTTCCTGTACTACTCATGTGCTAAGACTGCACACAGATCTTCATCGAAAGTTCATAAGACACCGTCATTTTGCTACAACTGTTATACATATTAAAAGCAACGTTTGCTCTAACCTCAGAGCACGTACACAAAGGTCCTTAGAGAGCAATTAGGGGAGCGTAGCCTAATTTAAAAGCTCTGAATCACCTGAGCCTCTCTCTTTCCATCAAACTATGGATTGTCTTCTAGGCTTAAAGTTTATTAGTCTTACTAACTCAGCTGCTAATGGCTTACAAAGATACACAGAAGACTGTCAGTATTGACAAGACTACCATGCTTCTCAATTGCTTTAATCATGATATTCTCATTAACCCTCAATATTTAACTTTGCATCAACAGAAATGAATTTCCAGCTCATTTGTTTACAAGACAGAAAATCAGAATCCATATTCATGCCTGCGTTCATGCAAGACACATGCAATCACTAGAAGCTGCATCTGAACAGTCATGATTTGTACGGAAGGCAAATACCAACACTACCTATACTAAAAACAGTTTTACCTTGTTATTGAAGAAATTCATAGGGTAAGCAATTCATAGGGTAAGCAATTATCAGGAACACTTCTGAAAATCCTCAAAACAGCTATCCTCAATAACTTCTATGCTATTTATTACATCAGATTCCTGTTTAAAAATTAATACTTTGATGGTTTTAGTGCCCAATTAAAAAATGTTTTATTTTCAGAAATTGTGGCAACTGTATCATTAATTTTGATATGATTAAAAGGTATCATGCTGGTGTTAAAATATACAGAGAGGCACCCAATATCACAGCTCCTGTCAAGAATATGGCTACAGTTCAAACAAAATCATCCCTAAAACCACAATGGCAATACTCCTATTGCAAGAATTTCCTAGCGTTGCAGACTCAGCAAAAAGACATAAAACTTTTGAAAACTTTGAATACAAAAATAAAGTGAGAGCTTGATTTGAATGCATGTCATACGAACGGCCTTGTGACTATGGTGCTACAGAGATCACAGGAAATTTTGCTCCGTTGGCTTTGCCTCAGACGCCATGACGGTGAGAGATACTGCGTTCTTGGTGGCCAAATTCCCTGCCCATAAGATAAGAACAAAACAGGACTTCTCTGTTTTCATTCCTCTTGCCTATTTTTATATTTTCAAAAACAAGAATGTCTGTTACTCTGTGTATGTGCAGCACTGCCCACAATGACACCTTGCAGTCAGTTGAAGCCCCAAATATCACTGCAGCCCTTGTAACAACAGTGCAACATATGGAGAGGAGGAAACAGGACCAGCAGGATCTTGGTGAAAAAGGCAGTTTGCCCATCTACCCACTTAGTCCTGCTAATCTGCCTGCTTGCACCGGACAGATTTCAATTGGAGTCTTAAGACTTTCGCAGATAGAATAATGTATTTAGAAAATTTTTATTTTATATTTGATCGGATGACACAGACTGGAATGGGAAGCTCGTATTTCACTACAGGCAGGACAATTTTAGTAAGTAAATAAATATATAAATCCAGGTGAACTAGAATAAACTGCTGCAGGGACAGGCCTCAATAGCATTATTACGGCCAAAAACATTTGGAAAAGTAACTTACTCAGCCAGTAACAGTTTTATCACCAAATATACAACTTTTCCAATTTTTTTTTTTGAATAAAAAAGGCTGACTCACAAAGGTTTTTTTCCTCTTTTCTTTTCTTTTTTTTTTTTTTAATCTATTTGAAAGTGGTGAACTTAGATGTTATTAATTCTGTCTGCCACTATTTGTGAATTATTTTTAATGGAGTCAGGTATCATGCAAGCGAACCTTTTAGTTACAGGAACAGACCAAATTAAAGCCAAAACTAAATCTAATTTTTCCATGTAAGCTGCAAGTAAAAGAATCAGAAAAGAGAAGGTTTTTTTTTTTAATTTAGCTGATAAACAGTGTAACAGTGTAAATGTGTGACACATCGCACATTTTAACAATCGTTGTCTTTAGCTTAAACATCTTTCCATGACTTCACGGTATATTATTTTACAACTCATTTCAATGAAAATTGCTGTTAATTATCTTTGAGTTTCCACATTTCCATAATTCCTTTAAATCCGCATTACCAAGGTTGCATTTCTTCCATATGACAAAGCAGAAGTAGGATAATAATAGTTAAAAAACACATGGAAAGGACACCAAAAACAATCACATTCACTAACAGCCACTTCCAATTGGCATCCCAAAGTAAGCAACCACAGAAGTGGCCAACATTTCCCCCACAAAATATTTCTATTTCTGTAAGAAGCAATTTCTCTATGGCAATAGATTTCTGCTGGTCTGTTAGATAATTACGATTCCAGATTTGTTTGTATATTGTACTTGCTTTCTTTCATTTTAATGAATATTTGTGCAATTTTGGACGAATCAATAGAACTACACAATATATACTCATCTATTCAAAATTTCTGAAAGAAATGCTGATCTGGAAGTACATCATCCCCATACAGGGATGAAGACTGCTAATGTGAATGACAGTGTATTATTGTGAAGAGACATAGTTTATTTGAGATTTAAATTTCACGTAGGTTTTATGTTGACTTTTTGCTCACAGATGTATTTTACCCATGTTCATAAATCATTATGCATTAAGTCCAGTGAGAAACACCAGCTAAGCAATCAATGCCAGACAGTGCTGAGGTACAACATTAATCATATTACATAGGTATTTAAGAGATTAATAAAAAACTCCAAGAAATCTCATACACTATCTGAAAGCAGAAGCAATTCTAATCAGGACAGGAACACATTTTTTCAAGAATCAAAGTACTGTTACCTTAAAATTTCACTTAAAAAGACAAAGCTGATTTTGTAAATCCTAAAGCAAGAAATCTGATCTCAGGACACTTCTCATCAAGGGGAAAATGGGTAACATAGCTTTAAATTACCATAGGAAAAGAAGTCAGCACAAGAGACAGGAGTACTGGCATACATGGTATAACATCAAAAAACTTAATTAAATTAAGCACTTATGCTAAGCCATTGAACAATTACAAGTTAGTTTTTGATTGCTTGTATGTTTTTCAGTAGATGGTAAAAAACAGACTGAAGTATTTACTCAGAATCAAACAGGAAATCTGCAGTTTTATTTAAAACATCCAGCGGAATTCTACTGAATGCACAAAATCTGTTCCCGTATAGCAAAAACTAGATAGCAAGTAAACATAATTTAATAACAGAAATGTACTTTCCAACTGGCAGTTTTTCAATCTGATAAAAAAAATGCTGTAAAGCTAAAATGAAAACAGCTCGAGTTTCCTCAGGTTACACCTGGACAGAATCGTCTTCTGAAAAGAGTGGATTGTTAAAAACAAACAAGAAGTTAGTGAAACAAACAAAAAATTATTGAAAATTTTCATTTCAATATTTTTCAAAATAAACACAAATCTTAGCATAAAATTTTATTTCCAAATTAACCTACTCTAGCCTACCATATTATTAAGCCATTCTTCAGTGAATAGAAAAGTTTGCTATACACCTAACTCTAATCCAAGTCATCCAAAACATTTCAGTTCACTGTAGAACAACTGTTATTTCCACTCAACACTGAAACATTATTTTATAAGATGGCATTCTAATATAAATTATTATAACCTGAAAATGCTTTATATTCTAGCAAGTGCTGCACTCAACACTTCACGATGGCTAGCACATATCATAAATTGAGGATCAGACTCATTTCTTGAGAACTATTTCCAGAGAGCTTGCAAACTAGAGTTTATTCAGTAAAGCTTACTGAATGCAAGACATGGATGAATTCAAAACCATGGTGGAATATCCTGAAGCAATAGATTTCAAATGAAAACACTCACTTCATTTCATTATATAGATTTGACAGAACAAAGTAGGCAAATAAATGATATTTCAATAACTTCTAGCATAAACAGCAGCCTTAGTAGTAACTGCAACAAAATGTAGCAACTCTATACTCAATTTGCTCTTTAGCTGCTTGATTTGTAAAACAAAAAGCCATGTGCTAAGTTGAAGCCCCTTATTCTACCTCTTGAGGATTTGGAATCTAAAAATGACCAAGTTCTTCTCGCTCCTGCAAGGCCTTGAACCTTGCTCACGCTGGCGTTTGTTTTAACGTATTTGACACGTAAGTAAGAACAAAAGAATTCATAAGAAGCAAAGAAGGAATCCCCCCCCCCAACAAACTAAAGGAATATAAACATCTTGTAACTTGTTTCTGAACGCATGCCAAACCATCATGACATTTGTTTCTGAGGGCTATTTCCTTCATGTATGTAAGAGCCTGAACAAACACAAACACCTTTGGAATTACCTGTCTGCAACCCCCACTTCCCCAGCACCTCCTTGTTTTGCCTTGAGTTAGCTCCGAAGCTAAAGCTTGAGAAAACTGCCAAGACCTGACTGTCAAATTTGGTTGAGAAACTGACACATGGAAAACACCTCTTTAATGAAGAGCTGCACTCAAGACTATTACTTTCTCATTCATTCAGCACCTTTTCCTCTTAGCTGACACATACCTTCCCCTGGTCGTTATTTCACAGAAGATAGTTTGTTTAGTCTTAGTTTCCTCTCACAGGCATTCAGAGCCCAAACATGGAAAGGTGCACCAAAACCGTAGGTCAGCCCAATCTCTGAAACTACAGCTCGACAACCCTTGGACTACATACATTTGTCAGCAGAAGACAGGTAGGTATGAAGACATTAACTTCTTTTGAAAAGGTAAGTCAGTACGTCAGGGCTGGCAATGAGATGGAACATGAGAGGAACAGTGCTGTAGAAGCGTAACCTTAGAGTCTAGGACAAGGGCTCACAAAGCGTGGCGGCTGGATTTGTGTGCTCATTCTTAAACCAACAAAGCTGTAGCCCCCTAACGTTTGCGTCAATGTAATTTAAAAAATCCCACAAAGAAATACAGAAGAACGGAAAGAATTCTTCGAGCAAAAAATATAGTTAATTGATCCACACTATGGTGAGTGCAGACGTTATCTTGCAGATTTGAGAAATATTTCTTAGTCTTATTCATGATTTGTTAAAGAGGTAACAGTCTGCACCTACCCTGATCAGTAAATTTGACTGCATTAATGATTTAAAAATGAATGCAGTATTAAAACTGAGGTCCCAGTAGTTAAGATACAAGCTAACAGTCATTTTAAATCTCCCTGCGCTTTGTCAAATCCAGAACGCTGTATTTTCCTTTGCCAGTGTTATATTGGTATTGAAGAATATTACAGTTATGCAGATAAGGGTAAAAGGGTACTCATTACTTACTTCCCACTGGTAAATTTAAAGGACAATAAAAATGTTTGACGCTATAAAGGATGCTTTCTTTATAAACCAAAGGACTGAGCAAGGTCTATTGCTCTGCAGTTGCTGAGGCTCATTTAGTTGAACTGATTTATGTTTGACTATATACTAATGTTGTGTGCGTTTGGCCCTTTCTTTATGTGCTTCTCATCAATTTGTTCTCCAGGTTTAAAAAAAAAAAGAGAGACCTTCTGGGCAAATGATACAATGAGTCATTAAACCCTCTTAGCCATGAAGCCGTTGTTATTTATGTCATTCTTCAATCACATTTTCTACATCGCTGTTTTTTTCAGCGTAAGGCAGACATTTACCAGGGCTCTGCGCCGGCGCTGCACATCCACCTGAACATCCTGCTTACCTTATCGGCTCTGAAATCGTTACTGACATCACAACAGAATTTATTTACATGTACAGAATTAACAGTTTGTTTCTGTTAATAGTTGTATCTCCAATTTCAACAAATAAAAGATAAGCCATTACTAAATTGGCTTTTAAGGGTACAAACGCTTGTACGTGACAATGGCAGCATTGTAAAGTACTTCACACATCCCTCCAAATGTTAAATAGAGGTGCATTAGATGCTGAATAAAAGCTAATTTAACTGAAGCATCACATATACTTACCTTCTATAATTTAATTAAATTTTACTGTCCACTGCACACAAAGGTAGTCCTCCTGCACGTATTTAGATCAAAGACTTAATGAAACAAAGTACTGCACACTTAGTATTACATCCTTTTTCAGCTGTTTTATATTACAGTCTCATGCTTCTCATTTTCTTCATTTATATTCTTTCTCTAGTCTCATAATAATTTGAGAGAAAATCATATTCCAAAGGCTTGAACCTTATCAGCTTGCGACAAAAGCTGTCTAGGCACATAACGGTCCTTCTGAGCAGCTATTTTGCTGCGTCTTGCAGTTGTGTTAGCTTTTCAGTTTTCAGTTAAGCAGTTAAGCGGAAACTAAATTTCTGCTGGCATCTGAGTGGATTCAAACAAAGGCAGCACAAAGACAGAGGGGAGATATACAAAAGCACTCTAAGTCTCCTTCCCTTTTGCTTATTTTCTTCAAAAAAACCATGAAGTGTTTACTTAGCAAATCTAATTAAATTGGAACTATTTCAAGTATTTTGAAATATTAAGTATTTTTTCCAGTCATGGTTCACAATGTTCTTCTGGAGTATTATTTTCCTAACAAAAAGTTGAAGAGGCTGCAACATGAAATAGTTTATTTCTGATCTGAAGTTCTCTGATTTTATAATATTAATATATGGGTGTGTATGTGCTTGAGACTATGTATGTCGGGGTGGGGGGGGGAATAAGGGGGACCAAATAAGGGGGACCAGGGGGAGAAAGAGAGATAGAAAACACACATACAGGCTCAATACAACTCTAAAGCAGCTCAGCCTCCTTCAAATAAAGAATGACGAGGATTGGAAAGAAAGCAGGTGAAAGGAAGTTCAGGAAGTTTCCCTCCAGCCATATTTTCAGTTAGTAGTTTTCAGGAAAACAAATTTGCAAAAGAACAGACACCATCAAACTTCAGGTCAACGTTTCCAGTAAGTGCATGCAAAGAAGGGACCATGATGATACTGTGTGATGACACAGTATCATCATGTCGAGACTGCAGTTCTCCTCCAGCTCTAACTTTAGCTCAGAAGTTCAGTCATCAGTGAAATTCAGCTTTCCATCGCATAGTTTTGGAACATCCTTATGTGCGTGCGGATCCTTGAAAATCTCAGATGAGGAGGCCCAGCCTCCCAGATAGCTCCACTTAAGTTCCTGTTCTTTTGCAAATTTTACTCTGACTCTTGAAAAGAATGAACATGTATTGCAGAAACCCGAAGCTAATTGCAGTCAGACTTCACTGACTGATGACTCCATCACAAACAAAAGGCACAGTATTTCTCTACTGTAAGTACTACTTGGATATGAAATAAACATCTTGCAGTGCAATGTTACATGTAAAATCACTAAATAAGAGAAACAGATGACTTAACAGTGCTTAAGTTAAACCTTTTAACACATGAACTTACTGAATCACTCAAAGAACAGATCGATTGTAGGCTGCTGTACACAATCACAATACCATCACAGACAGCAATTTAACAATCAACGTCTCCTAACGTTGCTCATGTGGCAGCGTATTAGAAGAGAGTTTGGCTTAATCGCTTAAGTATCAAATTTGAAATAAATTGCTGGATCAGGAGAGCCCCTTCTGTTCATCCACAACATCAAAAATTTCATATGAGCAAGATGCAATTGCGGGGAGGTTTCTGAGCAAGTGGGACTGCACAGAGATTATAACTTTCCCTAGAATTTGCAAAAAACACTAACACTCTTTTCACCTTTTACCTTTGACCAAATGGTACTTTGCAGCAGATAGTTGCATTTCAGTAGTACCATTCATATAGTACACAGGGTTCAATCCTCTTAAGTTTTGGCCCATTCTGGTAGATAGGTACCTCCCAAGCGTTACCTCAATAAACCTTCAATTAAGTTGTAAGCATCTGTGCACCACTGCCTGCCTACCAAGCACTACTGTGTTTGAACAAATACATGAAATTTGTTAGTTATTCGAGTTCCACTGTGCAAGCAAAGCCAGATAGAAAGAGCCAGACTGCATTATAAAATAAAAACCACATGCACTTTTTATTCAAGCTTTCCACAGAACAGGAAAAAATATCTTTGCGTGTACTACTGTCTCACCTTAACTTCAGTAACAGAAAAGGATATTTTAACTTATTTACCCTCTTGATATAAGAGCTAAACAATTTCCATTTGTATCACTATCAAAACGCAGATAAATTTGAGATCAGACATATTTAAGCCACTGGAGTGAATCTACTGATATTTATCCTGGGCCAGCGCGTTATTGCTCCTCTACCTCCCAAACACTCTGTGGCTCACAGTGTCCCCCTCCTCCAGCCAGTCAGCAGTTAGACTGCAGGTCTAGCAGCAGAGCTCTGCTCGTGCCTCTAAAATAAGAGCATTCTCTGGGAAACACCATTGCCTCACTGTACAGTCTCTTTGGCCTCAGAGACATCCAGCTCAATTATGACTGTATTAGTCAGCAAGATTCATAATACTGGCAGAAACAGAAAAGTAATACTGATTTTCCCTTTTCCCAAGAACAACGCACAGTGATCTCCTACCAATATTTAAAATAATTCAATGAGAATTGACTAAAGTCTTCACAGGGCCAACAGTCTACTGATGCTATGCACTTCGAGACAATTTGACCAAAAACGTAAGCCAGAAGATGAAATAAAGTATGTCACATTTTACTGGACAATGAAGAGACTCATGTGAATGGATGAGAGCTACACAAAAATAATAGGAAAAAAATACAAGGTCACTGAGTTGACTACTAGAAAACTGCTGATCCATGCTTAAAAGGCCAAGAGAATGATTTATAGAACGTAACAGAGCCTACAAATCCAACCACAGCTAAATAGTTCTCTTTGCTTCCTCTGCTTTCATGTATGATACACACTACCACCTGCTGGACAAAGCGCAAAAGTAATACAATAGGGGTTTTTGTGAGAAATTCTTTACGATCATGTTTACCTGAGGCAGACGCAAAACAACCTGGGATGTGTGGAGACCATATAGTGCTGTAAATGACCCCCTCATGGCCTTTAAAAGTGCACAATGACTTCCCCACAGCTGGATCCCACTAAATAAAATAAAAAGAAAATTGTTGAAGTATACATGCAATGAAAGAAGAAAAGTTTTCTTACATATAAAAGCTTCATATGTACAGAAAGGACTAAAGAAACTTCTTTTTACTGTGTATCATGAAAAGCACTTGTATACTTAAATTGATAGCAACCGAATGACAAGGCAGCATCTCAGTTAAAACAGAACTGCAGCCGCAGTTTAAAAATAAAGAAGAAAAGTGAACGGACATTGTTTCTTCACACAAAGAAACATCAGTTCCAAAACAAATCACAGTTTTGGCTTCAGCAGAAAACCAACATACCAGCTTGGCTGTTTGATCCCATGAACCAGACACCACTAGATGTTCTCCTCTAGTTTGGCTCCAGTCAACACTATATACCTGTAAATGGTATAACAGCCTAGTTCAGAAACAGCATTAACATACAAGTTTGAGTCAGTCAAAGTTCCACGAGGTACCCCTGGACTTGCAGATTTTATCATAATCAGCTAAAAAAAGCACACAGGTTAAGCACCACACAGTTGCCCATGATGCCTTTTACCTGAGTAAAAATTAAATTTAACATCCAAACCTCTCAATCTGGCATTAAAAGCACATATAAGCTCAGAAAAGTATCCAAAAAGGTAAAGATAGACCAAAAAGATAAAAAGGATTTTAAAAAACCCACATGGACCCACCATCACTGGAGGTTTCTTCCACTGTAAAAAAAGTCGTAACTCAGACTGATTTCTTATATCCAATCCAACTTTGAACATTTCTAATTGCTGTCAGTGTTAATGACACCTCTCTTTAGAGCTGACTGTGGAGTCGACATTGAGGTTTTTGCTGACTAAAAATAAATACTTTTTACGATTTCTAATTACGTGCATCTTTGGGTTTCCTAGAGTGCCTGCTACCACAGAATATAAGTGCTACACAGATAAGCTAGATTCAAGAGAGGCAGGGGGAATATATGCTATAAAATAGTCTGATCTTCATCTTTTCCAGATTCTAAGACACTCTTTTGTAATGTTCAGCTGCTCAAACACACAAACCACATCTAATGTTGCCCCCCTTGACAGAGGCAGACACCTTAACTGCATCTTTCATTGCTGGTTTTTCAGCTCTGCTGCCCTCCCAAAAGCATAAATGCTCTGCTGTGCTGTGTAAAGACACAATTAGATATGAACCAATAAGCTAACTGCTGGTACACTAGTCTCAGCACGAAAATGAGAAAGACCATCAAGGCTTCACACAGACATCAAAAATTACTAGGAGCCGGTACAAGACGAAAGCACCTTGATTCTCTCTATACTAACAGAATTTAAAAACAAATTTCAGCTGGTGTCTGTTAAGAGAAAAATTCCCGAAATAAGGAAGACCTCTGGTGATATTTGTATTGTATTTTGGCCTGCTGCAGTTCTTCAGATGTCAAAGTCTCAAGAACACGTTAAATTTCCATCCTCAAATCTACTTTATTTACACGCTGTTAGGTGCATTCTATTTCTTCCTATTATTATCTCACACTAAAATGTTGACTATTCACCAGTGTGTCAAACACTGATGATGCCTGGAGCTCCATAACCTCCATTGGGACAACATGCAGTTTTAACGTGAACCATTTCAGTGCTAAAGGTAGATAAAGATTAACTTAAACAACTAATCTGCTTGAGGTCCTGACCCAACCAGACCTTCCATGATACTTCTCAGAAATGCGGCAACTACCTGCCAGAGCATTGCTCTCAACAGCTGGGCCACTAATTAGGGATTTGAACAACAGTGGGAACAATCTCCTTCTAGCACAGCACTGAGTCTTACCTGCAAGTCAACAGGCTAAATGCACTGTTTGAAATAGTACAGTACAACTGGCCCCACTCTCTTGGGTAGACAGAATCATACATTAAATCACAGCAACCCTATTTTGAAGGTGAAAACATTTGGACCTGCGTTGCCAGAGAAAAAGGAGAGAAGCTGAATTGGGGAAAAAAAAAAAAAAACTAATCGAGTCAAAACCAAAAGTCACCTAATTCCTTTATGAAAAGCGTCCTGTATGAGAGAGGAAACCAGCACATCATTTAACTACTTCAGGACATTTTCCTTCCTAAGCAGCATTTCAGACTATGCTGGATCCAGTGTAAATTAACTATTTCCTTATTTCACATAAGTGAAAGACAATCATTGCCCAAAGAGTGCATCACTTGCCACATTCCTTTTTTATCTTATAATGTCATGTTTCCCACATACCAAAACGCATATTGCTCTAGCATCACGAGGTGCTAGCTCTCTTTCATGAAGAGTTTACAATTCAAATGTATGAGACACTGGGACAGTATTTGACAAAAGCTATACAAATAATAAACTTAGAGGTACTTTTTTGTTTGTCTGTCCAAGTTATGCCTTTATCTCCTTGGTTTTCTACTTTGTCAGCTGACTAGCAGTACTACAGTAGCTCATTAAAACATCCTCCCTTTCAACCTGCCTCCTTCCATTAAAATAATAATAAAAGAGACAAACAAATACCCGCTCATATTTTAAGAATGAAAGACATCATATTTCTCCAAAGTGGCTCCAGAGCTCCTTATTAGCCTCTTCCCTTCCCCCCTGAATCTGTCTGATGGTCTGCGTGTAACTCCTAAGTTGTTGTTGCTTTGCAATGCCCCTACACGGATCACGAGGCAGCATGCTGCTTTCATGCGATAGCTCAGGGGAAAAAGTTAGCTCAGTGGAAGTATTGGGCTCTCATATTCCTGTCCAGAATTTTAAAGGAAGAAACACGTATCTGAAAAAAAAATACGCACCTGCATCGCATATTCACCTCGCCCCACATATTTGGAACGTATCAAATCTATTGCACAGATATGACAAAGCGCACATATGGCTTCCAGCTCACTCACAAGCTCAGCATATAGGCTTGCTAAACACACGCTATGATATTGACCTGTATACATATGGCAGACAGTTGGGACTGGCCGACATTCTGCAGCTGCATCAGAGGTAACGGTACCTGGACAAATTCTCCTTCGGGCAAGATTTACAAACAGAACAGACAACAGGCTCAGGAAAAAGCAAGAGCTATTTTCCATGGCATGTGACAGGTGCAGCTACTGAGAAAAGAATGAAAAGAGGAAAACGCGGGCAACCAAGTAAGGTCAGTTTTATTCCTCTTATCTTTTAAAGCCCACCACCCAACAGGAATTTAGAGGTGCTACAAAAGAAGCTGTGTTGAGCATCAGGGAAAGACTAACAACACAGCATAAAACTGAAATCAAAATGTCCATCTTTTAGTGCTTTATTTACAATCATAAAATGTACTAATACTATTTATGCATAAACAGCAGCAACAAATGCTATAGGTAAGATCAAAGGTGAAAGATGTACAAATATACATATATTTTATATATATATATATATATATATATAATATACATATATATAAATCAAAATAAATGTCAAAACTCACTTTACAGGACAAATTTAATGCAAATACTCTGTTGTCTCAAATTCCAGTGAGACTTCATCAAAACTAAAATAAATTAGACTAATTTATTCATGAGATGCAGCAGTTGGTTAGTGCTGGAATAAAACTCATTGTCCTTTGATAATAAAGATGTGCTTTTAAATTAAAATTGTATGTTCTTTTCAAGGAAGGACAATGACCTCGTTTAGAAAACAGGAAACTGATCCCTGTCAATCTTGCCTTAGAAATAATTATAAAACACAGTGAGAAAATATTCATTAGGAGTGTCAGAAAGGGATTAAGGATTAAGAAGGCAGTCAGTCACTTTAAAGAGCACTGTTTGCCAGTGTTTACCACAAAGTATTAGTTATATTCCCACTGAGATCTATCATCTTAATGCACACTTAAAAAAAAAAAAAATCAAGACAATCCTTTCATTTCTCACAATAAACAGTCAGCCCATGTGTCCTATGCTGTCTTTCCAACTCATGGTTGAACGCGTCAACCTCCCCATGCTCCCTGCTAAACCGAGACTTGGACACAGAAATTTGTATTTCACAGACAACAGATGGTGCAGCAGAACCAAAATAATCTTATGGACAGAATTTCAATGAGAAAACGGTGAGGACAAAAGAAAAAGAATTTATAATTATGCTTTGCCTATATTTTTCTATTACTGCCATCAGGCTTGGAACACCATCATAAAACCCTCATCATAACTACCAAGTAAATTCCTTATCTACATAATATCCCTATTAAGCCAAAGTAGGAAAATTACAAAGAAAACAGGCACAGAAGACAAAGGCTCTTGTGTAACTGCAGTCACGCACCTTTTAGTTTTGTGCCTCACACCTGAAAGAATCAAAGGTGAAATCAAAGGTGAATACATAACTGGATTCCTACGGTCATTTTTTACTGACTACATATCCACTAGCTTGTCATCTGATGATGATTTATTTTATTCAGACAAAGTAGCAGTAATCCAGGCAACAGAGACGCCAAAAGAGATCATATCAAAAGCTAAGAGACTTGAGAGAAAAGAGTAGAGGATTAGAAGGAAAGCATGAAGGAACTTTTAGTTCATTTTTCCTCCCTCCTACTTGTCCAACAACTGTCAGTATCAGGTTCTTCCTTATTCTAAAGCAACATAGCATACCACCTACGAAACTATCTTTATTCTTGGAAAACGTCTTCCTAAACCTCTTCGGTACTAGTTTGTGGGCCTTAAACAACGGAAGAGTAGACTAAAATTTCTGATAGACAGCTTCCAGAAAGTCAATGGATCAGCAGAACTCCGTCAAGTCAATGCCTTTCTTTAGAGGCCAAACTGCTTCAAGTCTCTAACAAAAAAGTTCCTCATCTGTGAGGGAAGTTAGCGGTAATCATTCAATTTACAAGGCATATGCATCTATAAAGAACTGAAAAACACAGAGCATGCTAAATGCTGTGCCTCAGAAAAATCCCTTGGGGAAAGACAAATACATTTACACACAAATTGTCTTAATGCAAATACATTTCTGAAGACGAACATAGTAAATTTTTCCCCACCAATATTGCATAGGATAAAGAAATTAAATTCTTAAGAAAAATCAAATTCAGTGGTATCAATCCAAGGCTAAAAACATCCTTTCCCAGTATTTGACTACTGTTATTCCAAATAGGACCTCACAAATGCTATAATGGAAAAGGATAAGCAGTTCCTGAGCACAACAGAAGTCCTAAGGATCTGTATAACTTCTGTCACTCTGTATCCTCAAGATAACACTGCTATACACATCAGCCACCTGATTTAGACCTATTCATTACATTCTCTAGACCTACTCAAGGACATTCTTTAAACCTATTCAGTCATGTCCTCTAGAGTCATAGAATGGCTTCAGTACTTTCACACAACTGAATGATTATTTAGCCTACAAGGAATTACAAATGCTATTTCTGAATACATTAGATTTATGTGATTATGTGGTGCCTGCTAAAGGACAGAAATATATGAGTATGGACAGTATGTAACTCATTTTATATTCAAAATAATGCTAAGTTATACACTCAGATCACAGGTCCAAACAAAATGAAAAAATAAACAACAAGAACACTTTTGACAATGAGTCCACAACTAATTCTTTTAATAACTCAAGCATTAGACAGTCCATTACAATTTTCAAGCTTGCCTGGTTTACCTCCTGAGTGTGCTCTTTATAGACTTGCAGTGGACCTGTGGTTTTAGCGGTATCCCAGATTTGCAGAGATCCATCCCCACTAGAAGTGATGAGCACATGTTCATTATTCTCACTCCACGTCACATCAAATAGACCATCATTCCAGTCAAAACTAAATCAGAACAATCAAGATATTTGTCCATGAGAAAGCGTGACATAAACGTCTGGATAGTTATATGCAGAGACAGTATTTCTTTAAATCACCCTCTTTAGCATTCTAAACATCCTTTTTAAAATATTTGATTTTCCAGTGAATCTCCTTACAAGTAACTTAGTTAATACCATGAAAACTTTTACAAGTGTATGTCAGAATAGGCTGATTAGGTTAAAAGCATAAATGACCCATGGATCTTCAACACAGAGAAACAAATCTGATTGTAATCTTGAATTTTAATAACAGTGGTAAACAAAGAAATAAAAATGTCTGTTTTGGAAAAGCTCTGTCCAATCCAGAACATCAATAAGAAGCTGAGTCAAAATGAAAAGCCAGCAGAAGGACAGTTATGAACATTTTAAAGATCTCCCTACACCCTTAAAAGGGCTTTGACACACCAACAATTCATCCTATGGGGAAAAAAATACCACCCATCAGCTGCTTTGCAGTAACTGCCAATGACCACGCTGCTATCTCATGGTAAATATGAAGTTATTTACCCCGTTCTTACTGAAGGCTCAGCTAAGCTCAAGTTAACTTCATGGGACCCTGCAGCAATTATTAGGAAAAAGCATGCACACCAAAAGTTTCTGTAGAGAGCATGACATAGCTCATGGCTCAGAAAATGACAGGACTTTCTACCACAAAGTAAGTGGAGTCTCTGGAAACATTGAAATGAACATTACTAAACCAGAGCATGTAGCAGAACTAATCGAGTGTTTAACAGCTGCAAATAGGCTTGCTGTATAATTATGAATTTAAAATTGCTTCTCTGAACATGATAAACTACATCATTGTTTGTTACATGTGTCTATTTCAGCTGTCAGAGTAAACTAAACAAATGGTGTTTTACACTTTAAGACATTTTTAAGTGAACAATGGCCGAGTATTAAACCCCCTCCCTCCTAACCTTTCTACTCCTTCTCCCATCCAGAACGCAAGTCAAATTCTTAGAATACCATAGCTCCTAGAAAGCACCTGAATGACTTTGCCCATGCACTTTCTGCTCCATTTCCAATACAGCCATTCAGAAGCGGACAAATTTAGGTGGCAAGGCATTGCTCCTAAAAAGCTAAAACTTCTACTTTCAAGCTAGTAAAAATAAACTTATGTTACCTTCTGAGCAGAACAATCCCAGCTTCATTTTGTTCCAGTACTACCAGAGTTCCACAACCTAAAACAACAAAATAAAACAAATTATCACAATTAATTCCCCCATGCCAGTAGAAGCTAGTGTTCTGGGGTAGTTATACAGTGCAAACATGGATGGCATTTGAATTTCTTTATACCTACAACTAATTGCTTCTGCCATTAAACAGCTCCTTTTCTCTGCTTTATGCCTCTAAAATATTTTTTCATTTATATTTTTTTCTCCCAGTACATCTGTGGGTAAGGTTGGAAAAGAAACAACTCACTTGTAAAGAAAGCATAAAACGTGTGTTTCATCCACATGCCTTATGTTACAAGCATACCAGGATGGTGCTCCTTTAGATCTTTTGATGACAACACAACAAATGCAACACTTTTCTCCCTCTCTCTCTGAAAAGGATACTTGGTAATACAAATGCAGCTCATCAAAAATAAAATGAAGAATTCAGTTCTAAGAAAATACACACAGGCACTATTCTTCTATGTGACCGGGATAACATCAAAGTAACATTTAGAAGCTTTAGTTAAAATTATCGCTTTTAGAGACAATACTGCTAGAAGAAATGAAAAGGGGTCCAATACTGCAAAAAGCTCAGCTTGGGTTTTCAGGAGGGCTGCAGAGAGCTGCCAGGCCTTGTCCGAACAACTCAATGACTGAGACCAGAATAATTAAAATTTTAAGGAGAAAATATTTTCAGATACTTTATTTAACCTATGTTTGTCTCCTCTACTATGCATTTACTCCAACTCCTATGAAATCAGTACTCCTCTGAGAAGTTATTATTAGAAGTAAAAAAAAAAAAAAAAAGGAAAAAGAAGACTTTTTTTTTAAAAAAGTTGTTTTCTATTTTCTTAAGTAGGAAAACCTAGCTGGTGGGCGACTTCGGGGCAAGCATCAGATTTGCAGCTTGTTCTGAAATTAACTGTACTCCACGGAAAGAGAACAGATGCATCAGTTACATCCACGCGAAGCAAAAACAAGAGAAAGGGAAAACATAAAATGCTTCGCAAGACACTTGCTACACGTGCAGACACACAGGCGCGCAGTTCACGGACTGCCGGTCTCTGAAGGCAGCAAACGTTTGCATGGCTCTTCAGCTCACGGCTCGTGAGCGCGCGGGCCACCCGCTTCACGGCAATCACTGCAGAGAAGCCTGACCTGCTCTTCAGACGTAATTACCGTAATAAAGGAAGACCTTGTGTCTGATAAACAGTAGAACAGCAACCGACCCAAGCCTTGCTGCTTCCAGTTAAGCAGAGCGGCCCCCCCCCCCGCAGGGCGAGCGCGGCAGCGCCGGCCGCCCCCGCCCTGACGCTTCGAGAGGGCGAAACGACTCGACGCAAGCGGTCTCGCCCGCAGATAACCAGGCCAGACCACTTCTTCCGTTGCTGTTGCCGTTGTTCTTCATTACGTAACAGCGCCGGAAACGCAACCCGCGCACAGCCGGGCGGACAGCCCCGCCGGCGCCCCCCCGGCCCGCCCCTCACCT